TAAAAAATAACAAAAATATGGAAAACAGTAAAAAATGTAAAAGGCTGCTTCCATTTTCATGGGTGACCCGTGCGGGTACAAATCATGAAAATGTTGACCTGTGAGAATTTTTCACCTGTTCAACCCATGACCCGTTCCACCCATGACCCGTTGCTACCCGGACCATACCCGTCCAACCCGCCCGTTTGCCAAGTCTATATGAAACTCAATTGCTTCATTGTAACCCAAATTTTCAGCAAATCATAAAATTTCTTGAACAATAATTGTTGATAAATTCAGTAAATCAGAAATCAAAACAATAAAGAAACCATAAATTTAATTACCAGTTCCATATTATGTCAAACAAACAGGAAATAAAGAATTTTTCAGAGAAATAACAAGATATTTCTAATATGAACAATAGACAAGAAAGCAAATTATAATAGATAAATTACCATTAAGAGGCTCCAACAGCCAAAAAGTGCAATTAAGAAGAGCAATAAGCAACCAGCTCTTAAATAGCAATACATGTTGGCATTTGGTTCCACTTCCACCTCTTTAGATGTAACATGTTCAGTTCCACTAGAGTTCTCATTATGCAATTTCATTAAATCTTCAGAGACTACTATGGTTGTTTCACCTAATGATGAAACAGCCAGGATGAGAGTGAATAGGGACCAATAAAAATTGCTATTAAACCTTCAGAGTCTGCTATTGTTGTTTCACCTATTCACCTAATGATGAAACAACCAGGAGTTCATATGCACACTTCTCCAATTGTAGACCCAGGACTTGCTTGTCCTTCACCAAACAAATTGCACCTTCATAGGTCCACAAAATTTACTCCACAAACCTCTAAATTAGAACACAAAATCAACCAAAAATAAAAAAAAAATTCTCAATATCAAAGCTTAAAGAAGCAGATGACAGGAGTTGAGAAAGCACAAAATTTTCCTACTAATATCATTTCTTGCTTACCCTCGAAAGCAAAATGAAGCTGTAAAATTAGAACATTAAACAATGCTAATAAAATATGCAAAAATAAGTGAGACTATTCACTCTGATATAAGCAAAAATGCTAGAGAGTAGTGAAAGAACATATGGCTTTGAGCATACAAGAAACCAAACACAAGAACTTAGAAACCCAATTCATAAAAATAAACTAATACCGCACATGATTTTAAGGAGGTCATTAATCATACATGAAAAAGGTAAGAACAAATGTAAACTCCTAATTAATTAACATTCTACTGTTACTTTAGGATACCTAATATACCCAACATAAATTAAAAAGAGGAATTAGTAATAAAATCATAAATTAAAAAACAAAACCTCGAAACTAGTAATTCATTTATATAACCAATTTGCCACAATAATGTAATAACTTACCTGACATTACATTGAGCGCCTTGAAAGATTTGCACATGAAATTAGCAGCTCCAGCAGCCAAAAATTAAACAAAGTCCGCGAAAGAAACAAACGTCCAAGTCCAAAACTTACAGATCAATAAGCCCTCTGCTATTCAAAACATGATGAAAACCTTGTTGGTTTCTGAAAATCACCTTACAAATACTTTAAAAAAATATTCAAATTATATATTTAACCATTATTTACCATCCCATCTATTATTAAATTATTGGAGTAGCTTCAGTTGAGTACCTTGATCATCTGTGTTCAAACGCCTCAAAGTCCGCAAACAAAATTGAAGTCCATGAAGAGAAAAGCTTAAACCACCTCGTTACTGAAAAATAGAAATGTTGTTAAGAAGTATTGATTTGGTTTGTGCAAATTCTTAGGATTCGGTTCCACTTCCTCCCCATCAGATTGAACTGCCATCTCTGTCTCACTTTGGCTTCATGTGTGTCCACGTGATCTCCTGTTCCCCAAAAACCTTGGTTACAAAATTCTCAAAGTGCTGGGCTTGGATTTAGCCGGTTGATGGCTTGTGCATAAAGTGGACAGACCCCACAATATTTCACTCCCATATTTGGAAGTAAATCATAATTTGATCCAAACTCAAATGTCACAGCAGTATGGTCACCCTTGAGTAGCCTAGCCATTTCAGCATCAAAATAGCTACCAAAGACCACATGATCTGAGTTAATGACACCATATGATCTGGGTCATCCTGGAAACAGCCTACATGACATTAAAGTTGCAAGAGAAGTCTACCTTTCACCATCATTGGTTTCAAAATGACAATCGCAGCTGATATAAAGTCTTGAGTCTCAAAACTCTCATCAAACGCAATAACGCGCCATATAGCAAACCGTATAAAGCTTGTAAAACACCAATTTTGAGGTAGATCAAAAGTCGAAGATCCAAACTTTGATAGTGGACCCAGTTAGGAGGTCACTTCCAGGCAAACAAAAATTGAAAAACCCTGTGGTTTATCTTCCTGAAATATGAAAATATTAATAATATGCTAATGTCTGTGAGTGTGAGAGAGAAAAAGAGAGACCTCTGAAGACCATACTCACTTGTTGCAGTTGCCATACGTTGAAATCTTAGTGGTGACTTGCCAAAACGTTCATTGCTTTCTCATCCAGCTGTGACAGTTTGTGAATATGAAGCAAATTCTGACCATTAATTTTCCACTTCTGAGCATCTATTTTTTCTGGACTTGATGGAATACTGGTAATGATTGGAGCTGCTTGCAATTTATGTGTTCTAAGTAACTTGAGACCATGGAAGCTCCGGTAACGAATGAACAGTATTGCAATTGCTTAAGAAAAGTTGTTTCAGTCCAGAAAATTGCTTCATACTTGCAGGTAGACTCTCAAAATTGTTTTCCCTTAGATCTAAATTCGACAGCAAGGATACACAACAAAGATCCTCAGGTATTTCAGTTAGATTGCAGAAAGCTAGATACAATTCATAAATGTTATTCCAACATGCAATAGAAGATGGTAATTTACTCAAGGAGGTCTATCATGCATAGAGACTTGTCAAATGTGTTAAATTTTCCAAGTTTTCTAGAAGAGCTCAGGCTTTGAGCAACCAGAAATATCAAATACCTTATAGAGGTCAAGCTCCACATACTTCTTGGAATTGTCTCAAGATTTATGCAATCCTTCAACTTCAAAGTGTGAAGCCCTTTCAAATATTCAATAGAAGATGGAAGCTCTTAATTGTTGCTGCTCCATTTAAACAAGGGGAGTAAATCATCCATTTCCTCCAAGATTTCTGGGAAACTCTCAAGTTTTGAGCAGTCGGAAAGAATCAACTGGGTAAGAGATTTAATTTACAAATACTAGTTGGAAGACGTCAGCCTTCTACAATTATCCATATCTAATAATCAACTGAGACAGACACTCGATTGATGGGGGAACTTCTTCTATTGCGGTCCCACACAAGTATAATACAATTATATTTCCGCAAATCTGTGGAAACTTGTTGAGATTAGTGCAATAAGAGAAGTCAATAATAAGGCCCTAAAATGAATGTTGCTTCCGAAGCTTTTAAGATTTTCACAGTATCTCAAATTTTGTGTATGGAGGTTGTAAAGAGATTGGATAGATGTGTGAGCTTCAACCAAACTCCTACAAAATTAAGATTTATAACCTCAAGCTCCATGGCATCTGAGAGGTCTGGGAGCTCAATCAAGCAGTCAGAGCTTCGAAGACTAATGCATTTCAATTTGGATGGACACTGTTGCAATTGATAAATGTCAAGAATAAATTAGTATGGCTGTAAGTATAAAGATTGTATTCAAAGAAAGAAATATATTATAGCAAAATAAATTATACCTTTTTCCCTTTCCAAAGTTGCTCAATTTGCTAAAAGGCAATCTCAATTCGACCAGGTTCTCTAGACTAAATTTTGATGGCAATGTTCTCAAAGGATATCCATCCCATCGCAAATACCTCAATTCATCAGGAAGATATTTTAAACCCCGAAGATGCACTTTAGAAATATCTTCTAACTTTTCGTAAAGCTCATTAGCCGAGAATTATACAATTTAAGCAATTGAAGATTAGCATCTTAGTAAAGGCTCTGGAGCTTAATTGAAGATCTCTTATTTCTGCAATTCAGGAATATGCCTTTAACTGCGTCAGTTCCCTTAGAACAAATGAAAAGAAATATAAGAAAACAAAAACTCACAAAGCATCAATAAATTTATAACAGAGAAATGAAACACCACAATATGTATATTTACTAGAGGTATGAAATAAAATAAATATCAAATTATAGGCTCCTACCTTATTATGTTTCAATATGTGATAGACGTCAGTATCACACACATAGTCTGCTACGATGCCTGGCTGTGTCTCTGATTCTTCAAAAACAATTCTTCGACCCATTTCTTCCAACAAATCATGCATCTTTAACAAATTCTTGTGTGATATGTATCAAGGACTTATCAATGAGGACACTCAGCCAATATTGCGTAGAGCAATTATAACCGTTGTCAATAATACTGTTACATAATTTCTACTCCATCCATTAAGAAACATGCGATATCAAGAAATATATTCTTCTCTATCCAATTTAGTCCATGATAACTAGATTTCAAAACATCATATATTTGGGGGTCACCAATCATGTTCAAGTTACATAATGCACTTTCCCAGTCTTGTTTGCTCTTTTGATAGAGGGATGAACCCAACACTTTAAGAGCTAATGGGGTACCTTTTGCGTAATCTATTATCTGTTTGTGCGCTCCACAAGGTCTTTAGGAGGATGGTTTCTTTTGAAGGCATAATTACAAAAGAGTATAAGGGCTTCAGTGTATTGAGTCTCCAACCTCATATATGGTATGAACACCAAAATATGAAGCAAATGTCTGTCTCTAGTGTTACAATGACTCGGCTTTTTGGACCAAATCCATCAAGACCTCTGCTTAAAACTTCTAAATGCTTTGATGTATTGACATCATCAAGAACAATGAAAACGTTTATGTATTGAAGCCTATGCTTAATAAATTGGGGTATAGTATTTGGGAGAGTCGATGATAAAATCTTTATCCCTAGTATTCAGATATAATTCTTGTCGCAAATGAATTAATCCGTTACTTCTTTCTAATTCTTCACAACATTTGCGATGAAGCAATGACCTTCAAACTGTCTTGATATTTGGTTGTAACTAGCTTCAGCAATGGTTGTTTTACCTATGCCTCCCATACCCCAAATTCCTACAATCTGACACTCTGACAACAATGATTTTATTTGCTTGATGTGGGAATCCATTCCAACTAAGCCTTCGGAAATACTTGAGGATGACATATCATCTAATTTTTTCAAAATATCCTTGACAATTCCATCGATAAGTTTGGATTCAGGCCTAGAAAATTCAAAGAGTAAAAGTAGTGAGTTTAAGAACTGACCAAAACTGAAGCAAATCGAACCTCCAAGACATCAATAAAATCACCGTTTTTATATTTATCCTGCTGTTAATGTAAGGAGTGTAGATGAAAGGTTAAATTAAGTCAAGAAAAGAAAAAAGATAGCTTTACCTAATTGTCATCGAATTCCATCCAGATAGATTGGCTGCTTCAGTCAAAGCAGTCTTCCACTTCAGTACGTCTGATGGATCGCGCTTAACAAAGGCATCCCTGAAATTTCCACTTTGTTTTCGTACATCTGATGGATCCACTTGGTAGAAAATTGGTATAACCGTTTGGCCTTTCATTTGTTTGCATTCAAGAATCTTTACAAGTTCATTCAAGCACCATCTTGAAGAAGCATAGTCTTTTGAGAAAATGATTACTGAAATCCTTGATTCTTCAATTGCTGTTATCAGTGCAGGGGAAATTCCTTCTCCTCTCTGAAGTCCATCATCAATGAATGTTTGAATCTGTTTTTGACACAAAGCAGCATATAAATGGCTAGTAAAATTATCACGGGTATCCTCCCCTCTAAAACTAAGAAAGACATCATATTTGGGTTTACAAATATCAGGAGAAGAAATTGATGATGAAGCCATTGAGGAAAAAAGAAAGCTTTGTCGCAAAGTTACAGAACAGAATATTCTTAGCCCTGAGAGACGGTGGCTGTAGCGTGCAAGAACATATAAAAGATCTTTAATCCAGAAAGTACTTGAACACTGTAGCCATTCTACTGTAGATAAAGCTTCTAACGACTCCAGTTCCTTTTTAATTATAAGAGTGTGTTTGGACGTAAGTAATAAGAGAATAGTATTTTGGAAAAAGTTAAATTGGATTGAGTTCGTATTTAATAGGGCAGCATTTGAATTTGACATTGTTTCTGATCTATTATTTGAATATTATATTCGAGTTAAATAAATTATTAAATAATTATTTGGTATATTTTTTAAAAAAAAGATTTTAAGATAGAATATTTTAATACATTTTATTAAGAAAAATATATTATTTGATTATGAAACTTTTCAATTTATATTTAGGGTAATATTAATTAGTTATTTGGTAATTTTTTTATCACTAAATTATAAACAAATTCTTCGTAATAATTTCAACTACTAATACATCATTTAAAAACATGGCATTAATATATCCCTAAATTAATAATACGAAGCTACTAATAATCATCCTTTGGAATCCTTCATACACCTACATTCCATTAACAATTACGACATGGTTTCATGTTATGCCTATGTAGCATTAGTTATACTATCCCTCAGAGTTCTTATGTCGTATATATTACGTTGATGCAGTTAATTCAAACCCACCCCATTCCCTTCAAATTCTACCCCGTTTCCTATATCAAAATATTCTTCCTTATAAACTCTATCAGCGTTAAACTTTTCGAAGATAAGGTCCTGCATATCGAATCTTCTGATAAAATTGTGAATTACACAACATGCCATAGTAATTTTAGCTTGCATCTACAACGGCTAATTGTTCATGCCATCAAGAATAAGAAACCTTTTTTTTCAAAACACCAAGGGTTCTCTCCACAACATTCTGAAGCGATGCATGTATGTAATTAAACAACTCAAAGGGTCTAGAAAGGTTACGATGCACATTAGGAACATGGTAAGAAACCTATCTATGTGGGGCAAGGAACCCACCTTTGTTCGCATAACCCGCATCTACTAAGTAATATTTTACTATAATAAAATAATGAATGTCATTTGTAGATGTATAAAAAAATGTTTACGGATTAGCTAAAATACATAAAGAAGTTAGTTATACTTGGAGGAGGATATGAGAAACCAGACTCACGATTATCTAGAATTGAATTTAAAATTCTTGAGAAAAGAAAGAAAGAAAGTTTGGCTCAGTGGTGAACAAGTGAAAAATGAAGAAGAACAAGAAAGAAGAAGAAATGCCAGAGCAATAATATTGAAGAGAGAGACAACGGTAAAAAATGTCAATAGAATAGGATTTTGAATAGACGTCCCAATTGTTTTGTTTGAATATTACACCAAAGGCTCACTTTTGTTGTTTAGACTCTTTAGAATAGTAAAAAAAGGATTTGAAATAGTGATCCAAACACAACAAATGTCATCTTATATTACCTGATTATCATGTTTGGTTATCAAGTAATATAAGATTCTAGTAATCTTTCAAAATCAATAATAGTTACTGTTGGTAATACCTCCATTTTCTTAAGTATTTTGAGATTATGTGGTAATCTTTTTTTTTTGTTACAATTAATAAAATTTTAGGACAATAATGCCCTTGTTTTAAAAACAATTTACAAAAATACTAATTGACTATTTTATCCTTATACACAAAGCTTTAAGGACATAAATAACCTTGGAATTTTAAAAAATTACCCAAGGGTGGTGGCCGGATCTGGCCACGACCACCAACCATCGTCAACAAATGGCGCACGATAGGCTGGATTTGGCCGACTGTGCACCGCTAAGTCCGTTTCCAAAAAATAGCCAGATTTGGCCTTTCACGGCCAGATTTCCACTGTCGCCGCCGCTGGTGGTGGTGGCAGGCCTTTGATAGTGACTTGGGGTGGGTGGGGGTGTTTTTGATAAGTTTTAAACTTTTTTTATTGATGGGGTGTTTCAGCTAAATCTGAAATATAGGGGGTCAAAAGAAATTATTCAAAATATAATAATAAAAATAATATTATATTAATATTTAAAAATGAGGGCAATTTAGTAATTTAAATAACATACCCACCAATTTTTTTGTCTCAACTAAACATATTAATATAATATACTCACTACACTAATTCAACAATACGGTTGATCTCAACAATTCGGTAAGCATATCTCTTCATAATGTTAATATCAAATCAATTAATTTTTGTTATTGTTGTTTGCAGGGAAAAGATTCGTGTATTGGAATGGAATCAAGCCAATGATGTTTCTACCGCCAAAAGTAAATAGTAAATTAGTCATAACTTGCTCAGTAAAAGTCCAATTGATGAAGGGATTGAAGAATTGCAAGTTAGACAGATAGAACTTTAATTTGATATATTATATGCTGCCTTTGATATGGAATTTGCCTCGCTGTTGAACCATTTATTTGAATAAGTTTTGATTTCCTCTGTTTCTCGATTTCTACTGAACAATCAGTTGTAAATTAGTCATAATTTGCTTGAAGGCATATTAATTTTGTGGAAAGTTTCTAAACAAAGATGAGAAAGACTCTAGACAAACACTACAAGCATCTTCGAAAGAATCAACAACAGCACCAGAAGACAAAGTGGAAATGATCTTATTCTTGCATGGAACAATGAGACTGTATGGGCCAAAAATCGTCTTAGGCCTTATCAGGTTTAAGCATGAAACATTTACTATGTGACCCTAGGGTGATGGCCTAGTTCTGGTTGGGCCTGTGCCAAGATCCATGTCACAGACCAGACCCATGACACCAACCCAACTTCTCCCAAATTGGGTCATCCCGATTAGGCCTCACCATTAGCCCATCCAAGGCTAAGCCCATTGGCCCATGTTATTTGCTAAGGGTCCAAAGTCCTACTCAAACCCTAAGACATCTACTTACTATTTGATCTTTATCCTAATTCACCCAAGATTCTATATCTTAAGTGAATTAGGACTCTCGCTCCTTGAAAGGCAAGTAAATCAAGACTTTCCTATTTACTAGAACTCTACCATTATAGACTCAGAGTCCTACTAGGATTCGAAGATCTTATGACCACTATATAAAGAAAGGTATTGCCTCTCATAAAGCATCAATTATTCAATACCACATACTAGCTCCTAAAGCACCTTCGTCGTAGTTCTAGTCTCTAACAACACTATGGTAACCTTTCCTCCCCTTAGCCTTCACTAAATTTTCTTTTCTAGCCCAACTAACTTGAGCATCAGAGTGCTTATGGCAGACACCACACCTGTGTTCCCTGTGAGCTTTGCACTTACTTCTTGTAATAGTCACTACTACTCGAAAAATTATAATGAAATACATATAAAATAACATAAAGAAATTGGGCCCAAGTTTTTCTTTTATTAAACATATATACATACTCTTTACAAACATATGCATTTTTACACAAAATATATATAACGTATACAAAAAGTCATCAAAACATCAGGGACAGTGTAGCCACTCCTCCTCGCACGCCGACATCCATCCGACAGTGTCTCACCTAGGTCCTGCAAAACATGGGAAAACAACGGGGTGAGCACTAAAATAATGCTCAGTAAGTAAACTCTACTCAAACTAGCCCCGTAACTCTCTTCTCTAATCTTTCCTTACAATCCCTCATGTAATTCTCTTTGGGTTCTACTCTATTTATCTCTTTCTTTTTTTTAGGAACTCTTTCTCATAATTCTTTTTATAAATCAGACCCCATCTCACCGGGGGCACGGCCGGGACTCACTCCCGCTCTACGTGACCTCTATTCACTCTAGCCGATCGGACTCGGTTATGCATGGATTCGGAACCCTTGGCCATGTGAGTATAATCTCTCTTCTGGGTACTCGGGTATAGCCCTCATCCGCATGCACTCTAAGGGCTACACCACTTCTATCTGATACTCATGCCGCGCTCTCAATGCGGCGTACATGCGGGTACTCTACCATTACCCTCACGGGTTCCCACGCACAACCTACTCTATTCTCTTAACTGTTAAAGAACTTATACTCACATTCTATACTAAATCTCAAGCTAATCCTCAAGTGTATAAACAAAGGTGTAGAGCTATCTCATGCTCCTAATGCACTAATGAAATGCCAACTACAAGATTTCCTCAAAACAGTCATTCTGCACCAGTCACACTAAAACGGCCATAACTTATGCTATACACCTCGGATTACTACGGTTCTAGTCTCGTTTCAAAGTAGAAACAGGGCACAACTTTTCTGTTTGGTCTCAGCCCAGTTCGAACCGTAAGATACTCAAAAATTACTCATAAAGTACGGCAGTGACAGGGCAGATTTACTTAGGCATTTCTCAAACATCTCATGTGCATATAAACCCCTACGAAAAATACTACTAAACTTCATTTTTCTAGCCATCCAAATTGGGAAAAAACTCCCTCAATTACTCATAATCCTGTCAAGAAAGCACTCCCAAAAAGGATTACACACATCTCTCAAACTCATCTCAAAACTTCCATTTCTCATCACACATCAACAACACTTTCATATTTAATCATACCCAACTACTAAGACTAAGCACACATCTCATCTCAATTTTCAGTAGGTATACCATATACATACATAATTAACATAAGTCTCTACTCAAAGCTTAGTCATAACTCAACTTGGTTGGATTTACTTACCTTGTGCAAAGATGGCTTCCTTAGCACTTTCCTTCCCTTTGAGGACTTGTCTCTTCTCTACAACTCAAAACAACCACAAGGACAGCAAAAACACAATAAGACTTCACTATAAATACAAGAAAACTCACATAAAGCATGAATTCTTACCTTAGAAAGCTTAGAGATGAAATCTTTACTCAAAACCTCTCTTAAAAAACCTTAGAATTCTGGAAAAAATGGGTGGAGAAATTGAGAATATGGCCAATGGAAGAGGCGGTGGAATGAAGATGAATAAGGGATTTCTCTACACTACTTTTTAGTTCATTTATAAGCTTCATTTCCCATTTTGCCCTTGTCCTTCTGAAAATTCCATCATATCCTTGATTCTTTACAAACTACACCCCATTCA